TCTGGCCTCCATCTTTGGAAGGCCCCTCCCCTGAGCCCTTGAAGCCTTGAACCCTCCTCAAGAAAGGTCAAGACTACTCCCATAGGCTATTTAAACTCCTCCTCAGAGAACAAACCTGTGGTCTTCCCTGTTCCTCTTTGCTGGCTTTCTGTTTCCCCCTCAGGGCCACTGGAGAGTACAGACTGATGTGGGATTCCCCTCTGTGTGCTGTGATTACCATTAATGAATAAAGAAACTGCTTTGGAGTTAATAGCAAGGGAGAACTTAGGTAGGCAGGGAAAATTAGACTGAATGCTGGGAGAAAGAAGGGTAGAGTCAGAGAGATGTCCTGTAGCCCCACCTGAGATAGTTGGAACTTTAGGCTGTAAGCCACAGCCACATGGTGATACACAGATTAATGGAGATGGGTTAAATTAATATGTAAGAGTTGGCCAAAAAGAAACTAGAGCTAATGGGCCAAGCAGTGATTTAAACAATATGGTTTCTGTGTGATTATTTCAGAACGGCCAGGAACCAACAATCAGCTCTCTCCTCCAACAGCAGACATCCAATTAAACCTAGATATCTTTTAATTTGGTCTGATTGGGATTATGTACATTGGTGGAGAGACTAGTTCTTAGGAATTATTTTTAACATATAGTATTTTATGCTATTGGCAAATAAAAAAAGAAAACAAACAAAAATTATGTCATTCTAAAGGAGGTTAATGTTTACTTGCCAGTTACTAGAGAAAATGTAATTCTTAATTGTCTATCACTCATATAGATGGGTATAATTGTATTAATTTAAAAATGAGAAAGCAATTCTATAGAGAGAGCCAAAACATTACTGAAATATCTATCTTGAAAAAAATGCATTTTGCATTTAAAAACTGACTATTTGCTTGTTACTAAATGTTTATCAAACATATTTATAAATTTTCCAACATTATTTGCTTTAACAAAGTCCCTTACTGTAATTGTAACTTGACTACAGAAACTAAAATTAGAGTAACTGTCAAATAATGTAATTAAGCATTGTAGATAAGGATAAAAATAATATTTATACATGTTATAAGTTGAAATAAGAGGTATATAAAGCCAGAGCTTTATAATTAGGGCAATATAAACGACAAGACATTTTTATGAGCTGAAGATATTGCTCACTGGGAAAAGTACTTACTGTGAAAACATGAGGGTCTGATGTGGGATCACAGGATCTAAAGCCAGGTGCACTGGCTCATGCTTCTAATCCTCACACTTCTAGAGTGACAATTCCAGGTGCACTGGCTCATGCTTCTAATCCTCACACTTCTAGAGTGAGAAGTCCAGGTGCGCTAGCTCATGCTTCTAATCCTAGCACCACTGCAGTGAGAAGTCCAGGTGCACTGGCACATTCTTCTAATCCACACACTCCTAGAGTGAGAAGTTCAGGTGCGCTGGCTCATGCTTCTAATCCTAGCACTGCTGCAGGGAGAAGTCCAGGTGCACTGGCACATGCTTCTAATCTTAGAACTTCGAGGATGTTAGCTGGAGACCGGAAGATCACAGGCCCACTAGCTTTCCTTACACATTAGCGGACGAAGGATTTTGTTTGAAATAAAATAGACAGTAAATATGCCACCTGAGGTTATCCTTGAATTTACACATGTGCAACATGGAGCACATGTGCACACACATACACACACACATACATACACACGAATGCAATTTTTAGAAACATATTTTAATACTCCCAAATATGTGGTATTAAGTACAATTCTTTTTCCAGACCCTGGAAAGGTAAACAGGAATTTGCAGTTAGCAAATCAAAATGCAGAGGAGAAAAAGAGTAAAGGCCAAGGATTCCCCCATGCGATTTCTTCCTTGTCTAGTTCTGTTTAGCCAGCTCAAACTGTCATTAAGAATTCCTTGCATAAAGTATTATAAATTAGAGTGAACCAAACGGTGGAATTTCAGAATTCTTATGAAAAGAAAAAGATCCAGCCTTGGTCTTAATATCTTGATAGCATTTCACTTCAAGAAATAAAATTCTTTTTAAAAAAATATTATTCAAATGAATAGTGATGAATTTACCTTTTAGAACAATAAATACAATTGTGAAACTTGATCCTGTTTACTCTATAGAGAGGGCAGGGAAAGTTGTCCCTCCTATACTTACAGACCTTCCTACCTCCCACAAAGACTGAGTTTCACATCTTTCTGTGAACTAAAAATTATTGTTTATTTACATATTTATTTGTGTTTTCAAGACAGGGTTTCTATGTGTAGTCTTGGCTATCCTGGAATTTTCTCTATGGACCAGGCTGGCCTGGAACTAAGAGCTGCACCTGCCTCTACCACCTGAGTGCTGTGATTAAAGGCATGCCTTACAATGCCTGTGCTACGGATTGATTATTTCAACTATTACATTATGGGGCCATAAAAAAAATCTTCAGTTTTGGTTGGAATTAAATTGTTTTCCACAGAAAAGTAAACAGAGGTCTCTATGTTTGCTTCTTCTGTCTGTTCTTTCTACCCCTCCCTTCTTTTCTTCTTTTCTACTGCTATTTGTTTTTCCTTTGTTTAGATTTGAGACAAGATCTCACTATTTATCCAAGTAGGAATTGGAATCACGACAAACATTGGCATTGGATTTACATAATCCTCCTGCCTCAGTCTCCCCATTGCTGAGACTATAGGTGTGCTTACAAGACTGGCTTTGCCTTGCCTTTATGCATTAAATCTTTTGAATGGAAGGAGAAGTTTAAAGAAATGTAAACCGATGAGTTGCATTTTATGGGGAAAATACTAGAGAAATTTATTGACAAGTCCTAGACACTGATGTTGATGCCAAGACCAACGAGAATATCACGGAAATAAACTTGTATCTTTAAATACAAGGCACATTGTAGGAGAGACAAAAGGCCTACCTAAGAGCTCAGATCTGCTAGCTAGGCACTGGGCACCATCCTAATGACCTCACTTTGTGGTGATTGATTTCTTGTTTGTAAGACTTGATAAAAACAAAATAACATCATTGGATTGTTATTAAAAGATATATGTTGAATGGTAAGAGCTAGGTACTATTTCATTATTGCTATCAGTCTGAAATAAAGTTACTTCCATTGTAGAGAATGACAGAGAGTTTGTAATTTCTCTTATGCTTGTGGCCAAGATAGATAGGACATATTGTTCTACCAGAGTGACAGTGTTTTGAGATGGAGATTCGAAGGGGGAAAGTTATTACCTAATATACAACCAAGAATCATGTTTCTATCTTATAAGTGGAACGTACAGAGTGCAGACTTAAAAATCAGTGTCTCTCCACACCCACCAATAACCAGGAAATAATGAACTGTAGCACTTGCCAAGCATGCTGGTTCTATGATGCTGTGGCTCCTCTATTAACCCAGAGACATTAAAAAATTAATAAAAGCATGTACTTCTAATTAATTCACTAGTCAAACCACTGTGCAACTGGTCTAAGGAACCTACTCTCACACACACTAGGCACGTTCCAGACTCCAGACATTTCAATCAACTATATGGTTAGGATGGTCATTTTGAAGCATTTCTGCTTCATTTAAGGTTTTACAATTTTGTGATCATTTTTTTAATTTATACATTTATGTATTTATGGCTCTTGTTGCTTTAATAACCAGAAAGTTGGATTCACTTATTCACTATAAAAAGAAGAAAACTATGAGGGAGCTGAAGCTAGAAAAAGGAAATAAGGTTGTAGCTTGTTGATGTCATAGTCCTTTTAACAATATCCTGTCCTTCCTCATCACCCAATATTGCCCTCTCGATTTCCTGTCTGAATTATATTTTATAGTCACACTTACATAACTTTAATACATACATGTATACACTGTAGGCCAGGATCCACATGTAAAATAAAATATGCATGTTTTTCTTATTTTTTTTTCTTTTCGAGCTTGATTACTTACGTTAATATTGTAATTTTCAAGTGTATAATTTTCCTGAAGATTTAGTGATTTTATTTTGCTTTACAGCTGAGTAATATTCCATTTTTATATGTACAATGCTTTCATTATCTATTGATGAGCATCTAGGTTGGTTTCATTTCTTTGCTATAAGGATGCCTTGGATATTTTCTGAAATCATAAGTTATGTAGAAATCCCTGGAATCTCTAATGTGTGGTAACGTCTCACATACAGAAGCATTCATATTTTGAGTGGATATAAAGTCATTTTTTAAGTTAAAAATATTTAAATAAGATTTATTTTATTTAAAATGAATGTATGTTTGCACATAAATGCAACTGCCTTCAGAGACCAGAAGAGGGTCCTGGATCCCCGAGAGCAGGAATTTTTACCAGCCTAATTCTGGGATCTGAACTCTGCAAAAATCAGTACATTCTCATAAGAGCCATCTCTCCAGTCCTCACAGGGGAATCTTTAAAACTAAACAGATGGGTTGACAGCATTCACTATAAAACTGGTATCCACCTACAGTGGATTTGATATATAAAATATAAGTTCTTCTCAGAAGCGTCTGCTAAAACCTGTCAATGTCTTTGTAAAGATTTACTGGGCTTTTAAATATTATCCATTGTAGGTTAAAGGTCACCCACGTCTCTGTGCTTGTATTTCACTTGTCAGAAAAGTGAATGTTTCTTCAATGAGTGAAAACGGTTGTACTAGTATTGATCAATATGGCATAATGTAATGTTTTCAACAAAGAACAGTAAATGCCAAATTGGTAAGAATTTTCTTTCTTGTCTGAAGTTTTATTAGTTTGGCTATTAGCAATTAAAACTTGTTTAATTTAAGATGGATAAGATGGTTTATTTTGAAATGGTGATATCTCAGAGCACATATTGTATTGTTCATGCTTAACTTCCAAAGTTAACTGTATCTGCATTGAGCTTGGCATGTAATTTGTGGATACAGTGTGTTTTTAATATAAACTTTGTGATAGTTAGCTGTTCGGTTATTTGGAAATTTTTATGCTCACAGTGTACACGCATTTATTTCTCAGAAATAACATGGTACTTGTCTCTAATTACTTCTTACCCTATTGGAATCAATTCTTGATCTGGATGTGTAGATGGGTGGAGGGATGTTGAAAGCCTGGGGTACCAATTATTCCTCAGCATCCATCATGTCTTCCAAATCTTCTTCATCCAAGAGATTCTGGAAGAATTTGCTGTCATTTGGACTGGGAAGCTTCATACGATCATCACCCTGAAAGATTGCCCATTAGAAATATACAAATCATTAGTCTTTCCTTCATAACATGTAGTTTCAATAGCAATTTTATATAATAGAAAAATAAACAGCCAGCGAATCCCTGTGCTCATTATAAAGCGTCTTTAGCTTAACTACCAACTAGAAAAAAAAATCACATACTGTTGTTGGATATCAAAAGGTAATATAAGAAGAATGTAATTAATGCAACAATAACAAAAATGACGTAGGGCAGGTGACGTGTGCATTTCAAGGGTGGCAAAATTCACTTTAGATATGAGAGTAACATCTCACTGTTAAGGAGGTGTATGGGCTAAGAAAAGACAGTAGGAGGCAACTGACACCAGTTTTTATTTAATATGGCTGCACTGATGTTACGAAGTCAAGACACAGACACCCATGGTTTGTCTTATGGTATAAGGGCATCATTGTCAAAGTAATAGCATTCAAAAATCATACTACATTGATGCAGACAATATATGACTTTGGGAGAGATACAAAACACTTCTCCCAAACAAAACAAAACACAAAACTTTGTTCCACTTGTCATTTCTTAGATATTTTTAGATTTTCCAAATGTTTGTATTATTAAGGTAAACAATTTCAATTTGTGAAAGTTATTTTGTGGGGAAAACGACTGAAAATTACTATCTTCTTAATTCTGGTTTTTGTCTTCATGTTACTTGAAGGTAAAGGTTCTTTTCAGTGAAGAAAGATGATTGAGAATATTTAAGGTACAGCTGTGTCATCTTTAGTTGAACATAATGACAAATAAATTTTTACATTAATGAAGTGATCCAATCTATTTGATTCCTAGTGTCGAATAGAAATTTTCTCTTGGTATGTTCTTTAACTTAAATAAGCACCAATTCATTTGAATTGAGTTATTGCTTGAATACTGTACACCCCCAATAAAACAGTCAATATTTGCTTCTAAAATTAGCATACAAAGTAAATGGTTTGTTATTTCCTTGTCATGGCATTTACATTTATTCTTGGCTTTGTTTACCATCATCTTGCACTCCTCTTGCCTGGATGTTCATGTCTTTCTTTTTCCAGGCAGTCTTTCAACTTCTATATCATATGTATTCTATTACTTTCTTGTCCCCAATTATCTTTCCCTTAAGACCTCTTTTTCCTTTCTCTTGCTTCTTTTCTAGTTTTGTGAGCTCTACCATCTCTCTCTCTCTCTCTCTCTCTCTCTCTCTCTCTCTCTCACACACACACACACACACACACACACACACACACACTCACACACACACGTAGGATATGCATATGAGAGAGAACATGTAATATTTGTATTTTTGAGCCTGCTTTGTCCCAGTTAATAGAACCATATTAGATCCACCAATTCCTAGGTTGTTTCGCATAGACATTTGATTATTGGATGTTTCCAGCAAAGTCAAAATGACTGACCTGAATAACTAGGTATCTTTGAGGGTCTCTAGCCATCCTTGAAAACTCAGCAGCCAGTTCCTTGAATTTAGGCCTGCTGTCGGCATCAATCATCCAACCTGCCAATTAATGCAGAGGAAAGTATTAGTGTATCCATACTTGGAGAATGTGATGTTGAAATTTTAGGAAATGCAAACAAAATGCCAAAGATATTGTGTTAATAATAACCTGCAAAATCAGTGAGAGAAGCAAAACAATCATGTAAGACTGTAACTTAGTAAATTGCCATTCACTTTGGATTGCAATACTCTATCAAAATTAAGGAAAATTTTTAAAAATTGAGTCTAATTTTAATTATGTGTCTGTGTCTAGGCATGTACACATGAGTGCAAGAACTCATGGACATCAGGAAAGGGTACCAGTCAATCTGGCATGTGCGCATGCATGCAGATGCTCATGGACGTCAGGAAAGGGCATTGGTCAACCTGAGCTGAAGTTACAGGCAGTTGTGAGTTGCTTGATTTAGGTGCTGAGATCCAAACTTGGGTCATGTACAAGAGCAACACAAGCTTTTAACTGCTGAACCTTCTCCATGAGACCCCTAATTTTTATTTTGTTGATCCTTTACAAACTTAATCCTTGTCCTTGAAAATAGATCTCAAGGATGTAGAAAATAGATCTAACTATAGAAAATTTTAGGACCTCAGATTCTGTTGTTCTTGTTTTGGAGTGTGGTGATAATGTTTTTAAAACATTCTTTGGTGGTTATAGACAAGATAATTGAGATAGAATGTGAAGTTTTATATCAAGAATACATGGTGGAAAATATTTGATTGTCATTATATAGTCCTGTGGCACAAAAGGTTGAAAGGGGGAACTGAAAGAAACTGCTGTTTGCCAATTTGTTTTTGGCTAGAAGGATAAAACGCAGAATGATTAGTAATGTGTGTTCAGCAACACCTGTTAGCTGCTCTTAATGTCTGCTTTTCCAAATTAAAAATACTAGTTTTCAAGGTAGGTAGTATTCCTTATCAGGGAGTTTACATAAGCGGGCCTTAACCGCCTATACTTGGTTTAGCTGATGAGTCGACAATAATTATAGCACCAAGCTTCCCTTGGTTGCTTTGCCAAACGATCCCTTTCTAAAGCATACAGTCTCCAGGGGAAAGGGAAAACAAAAGGTAAAACTCTCAATGTGCTTTGCCTAATAAGGCAAAATGTTTGCTTGTCTTTTCATCATCATATTGCGGTATTCAAATCACATGTGATACGGGTTATGGTATCAAGTTCCCACACAAGATCTGAATGCTTTTTAGCTCTCTTCAGGATATCAAGTAAACAAGGCCTGACCTAATACAGCTAGGGTTTTTTTCTTTTTTGTTCTTTCTTTCTTTCTTTTTTTCTTTTTTTTTTTTTGTTCTATGTCTAAAGAGTTAACGTTTGTTCCTGTTCTGGAAATCCTTTGAGTATCATATTATGCATCCTTTGTATCACGTCTCCTAAGCTCAAACACTCTACATCTTATGGGTATTCATTTCCAAAAATGCTTGTTAATGCCAAGATGCTAATGACAAAGCTACTGGAGCCAAGAAAGGTTAACTTCACAGTGAGATATTTGTTTCTCTCCAACTAAATATTGAGTAAATAGGCCTATGCTTAGAGAAAAGGGCATGCTGACCTGCACTGCAAGGATGAGTTTTTATTTCTTCCCTTCCTGTCAGAATGGATCACACAATGGCATGAATATAATTATGAGAGGACCTGGGCCCAGAGTCTCTGAGTCTCTTATTAATAAAATTCTTATTCACCTTCAGCACTCTGTGTCTTTCTTTAACCCTATGTAAATCAAAACTGGAAAACCAAAGATTATGCGAGAGAAACGGCTGCCTGTTAATCTCACTTAAATTAAGTCAGAAACCCCAGAGACTTATTTAATTCTATTAAAATGAAGGATCTAGGCTTCCAAAAACACATTTATAATGCACATGTGTCTGGAGTATAAGAGTGGAAAGAGAAAGAAGAACACTTGACATAAACAAATGATGAAACAGAAAAGTAGGCATTATAATCTTTGCTTCAATGCAGATTCGTCTTTTCTGATTCTCAACCTGCTCTGCTAATTTACTTTTGATTAAGCCTATATAGCTAATTAATTCAGTTTTAGACTATCACTAATGTTTAGATATGTTCCCATAAATATTAACACTAATACTATTACTAACTTTCTTATAAATAATGATCTCTCTTTATGAATATCTTTGATGGGCATGGAAAGTATAAAAATTAGAAGAGTAAGACATGCATAGTTTTTACTTTGTAGCTTGGAACCATGATATTACTTCATTATAATAATCACAACAAACTTGTATTTATATTCTACATTCACAAATATTCTTGCTTCTATGTTTTTCAAAGCAAAGAAACATTTTGCAGGTAAAACAATCTAAACTGTTATTTTACTAAGAATGATCGTGCAGGTGGTCAAAGTATTTTCCAGTCTTACATTTGACCATGACCATGTAAACGTCAATTGTGCAGATGGGCGGTTGAGGCAAACGCTCTCCTTTTTCTAATAAATCCGGAATTTCTCGGGTTGGAATTCCATCATAAGGTTTTCCTCCAAAGGTCATCAGTTCCCATATTGTGACACCTAATTTGAAAGAAAATCCATATATAAGCAAACAACTGTTACAATTTTGAATGAATACATATAAAATTACTCTTTAAAAAGCAAACATTAGAAACCCAAAGAAAACTTTGTTTCACTCACATCAACAATTCCAATGCTAAACCCTCTAGGGGCAATTCACAGTAAGAATTTTCTTACTATTGTCTTGGAGTTGTTACCAAAAATTAAAACAAGCTCCCTGTTTGTACCTACACGTAATGCTAATGCTTACTGATGAAAATTGTTTCAAATACACAGAAATCCAGGATACAATCCCTTTACTGTATGTATGTGTTCAGTACAAAATAAATATGATTTCAGGAAAAGCCTGGCATGGATAAATTTTTAAATGAGTCTTTTGGTGAGAAAGCCATCTAAGGCTGAACTGGCAGTTGCAGAATGTTGCAGGTGTCTGTTGTTAACTGCTAAGCCTGTGCCGCACTTCTCTGGTAACACAAAGAAAACAAGTGGAATAAGAATCTAGTTAGCTCATACAGGAGTCTTCATGAGGACCAATCCATATGGAAGACAGAATATCTAGGAATGGGTATCCATAGAAATGAGAAATGAAGGAATGAAGAAAAATGGACAGCTTACTTCTAATCTAATGATATGATATTTTTGAACCACTGGAGCACTGACAGAGAAATAAAATAAAAGGCAACACTAAGAACAAAAATAGAAAATGTAGAGCTCAACAAAAATCAATAAAAAATAAAATAAATTTAAAAAAGAACAAAAACAGCCATATTGTAAAGATTACTTCTTTACTACAGTAGGTAAATTCTCTATTACTGAATCTAATCCATAGGCCAGAATACCTTTAAAAGAGAAACAGCTATGTAAGCATGGTAGTGTTATAATTTGAGTCTTGATTGAGCCTATAGAGATTTATTTTAGTTTAAAATCTGTTAATTGGGGTTATATGTTTGAATATCTTTGTAATGATTTTTTTTTTAAGCTGGCATATGTCAGTCACCATTGCCTGAAAACTATATCCCTCTATATACATAGACACACACACATATACATACACACACATATATATATGAATATACATATATATATACTTCAAACTTCCCTGCAGAATATAATAATTAATGCTAATTAATTCTGTTAATATTTTCATTCTATAATTTTTTATAGTCACATACATGTACAACTAGAGACACACTTCAGCAGATTGATTTTTCCTAAATCCTTATTTTTTATATAAAGATCAAGTTGCTCAAGAAAGCCATTGTTTACACTTCAATGGAAAGCTATCAAAATGGTGATCACTCTTTTTCAGCAAATCAATCACGGTATTATATACACACATTTATATACATACACACAAACATACATTCATTAGCACACAGGGCACATGCATGAAGGAAACATTTTATTGAGCCCATCCTTGCTGTTGCAAAGGACTGCACCGGTATTTTTAAATGTCTATCAGATATTCCAAAATAAGCAAAATTTAAAAATCATTACATGGCAAAACAATAAAAATATTATGAAATATAATGTTAGTTACTACAAAACCAAAGGCTAATATGTCCAAATTCCTGCTTCTAATAATGTAATTAAATCTTTCTGGAGTGGTGGCACCGTGAATGTTAAAGGGAATGACTTTAGGTAAATAGAGAAATTTCAGACAGACTATATGAGAAACATAAAAACTTACATTGCAATTTCATCACCTTTAAGACATATCACAGCTGATGCATATTCTGTGCATATAAAAATTCAGCGAGTGATAATTTTCATCAGAAAGATATTATAAACACGGATATGAACATTCTCTGCCACTTATGCCTCTTGCAATCAGCTACGACATATCATAATAATCTCCAGATATCTGATGAAAATATTCTGAGACTGCGGCTGTGACCCCAGACAGCACTATGCATCTATTTGTTGATGTTCATTCAACAGCCTTTGGAATCTTGAACTCAGTGTGAATAAAATTATGATAGCCAGACTCACAAGATTTTCTCTGAAAAACAAACTGTAGTAATAAAGCATGACTGTTTGACATTTGTTTGTTTGGTTTGAGGTCGTGAGCAATTTGCTAGAGGCAGATTGTCACCTTTAAATTTAGTGAGACACAAGTACAAAAGGGGAAAAAAGGCAAGTGTATATATTAATATGTAGTAGAAAATATGAAAAATTTATATGTGATATAAATCCTCACTACCACAGACTTATCTACATCTGTAATATTTATTATATATACACAAACATGCATGATAACATGCATGATAATAGACAAACATATGAGTCTATTATAAACGTGATATACTTGCTTTTTATTGACTATTTAAAGTTGTTTAATAACTAAGCTTGTTTAAACATTTGTCTTAACCATAAAGACATATTTTCTATTCACAAATTAGATTATGTGTGACCTTCTTGGAAAATTTAACACCACTTATGACATAGATATGGGAACTTTGTGTTGAGATGTCTTTGGTTTCTCTCTCTCATATGCAGAGAGAGAGATCACACTCTATGAGATCCCATGAGCCTTGGCGGTTTCTCTGGGTTTTCTGCGATGTCCCTGGTCCGTCTGCTTCCTACAATTCTTCCTCCCTCTCCTCAGCATGCGTACCCAAGCTCAGCCCAATGTTTGGCCATGTACCTGTGAATCTGCCTCCATCAGTCACTGAATGAAGGATGTCTGATGACAACCAGAGTAGTCACCAATTCGACTACAAGGGATGGCTAGTTCAGGCTATGCATCAACTGCTGCCAGGAGTCATAGCTGGGGCCATCCTTGTAGATTCCCAGGAGTTTCTCTTGCATCAGACATCTACCTGATCTACAAACTGTAAAGACCACATTTCCTGTCATTTCCTCAGCGCTTGCCTCCTTCGCCCATTCCCCAAGCCGAGCTCTCAGGTTCCCATGCTCATCAGCTCCCAGTCCACCAAGAGGACCTCCTTTATTTCCCCTTCCCATGGAGATCTATGTGTCCCCGCCTTGAGCCCTTGTTACCTAATCTGGGTTTGTGAATTGCAATGTTCTATGATAATACGTTTTTATTCAAGTAACGTAAGGGGAAGGGTGTTTATTTCACCTCACAGTTTAAGGCACCTTCCATTATGGTGGGAAAGTTGAGGCAGCAGGAGCTGGAAGCAGAGGAAGCTACACCACATCCACAATCTGGAGACAGACGGGGATGGATGGATGGATGGATGGATGGATGGATGGATGGATGGATGGATGTGCAGTGGTGCTCAGATTGCCCTCTCCACTTCATAGAGTGCAGAGACCTTGCCTAGGGAATGGTTGGGTCGGTCGTTGTACTTCAAATAATACAATTCCCATAGCCACGCCCAGAGGTTCACCTCCCAAGCAATTCTATGTTCTGTTGACACAAACCATCTCAACTCCACTCTTTATCAATTCGAAATCTGAACACATCAATTTTAAGCCATAACTTTTCACTCATTGTCCCTATAGACTCTTGACGATTTTATAAAATAAAATGTATTCAGTTCAACCATAAAGTCCCAATAGTCTTTAACAATTCCAAAACTCTAAAAGTCTGAAGTTTCTTAACTGTGAGATTGTGAACTCTTATTTAAAGAAAAAAAGAAGTTGTAAACTTCCAACATATAATAATGGCACATACTGACACAGAGTTAATCTGTTCTATCCAGAATGGAAGAAACAGGGCAAACACCGAATCCTGAAGCTCCATGTGTGGCATCTGGATTTGATAATGTAATCAACTGAGTTTCAAAGGCTTGGGTGGCACCTCCCCTCATAGTTTCAATTCTCCTGACTTCAGCAAACACAAATTATTTCCTGAGCTGGTTCTGTTCCATGTATGTACCCCACACTCGTGCATGTCCCATGGTCTTGGGATCTTAGATAAGCCAGTCTCCAGAGCGGTTGTGGTTTCTCCTTCATGGTTTCACACAATGGCCTGCCTGGGACTCTAACTCTGCCGTACATATCTGGGCCTTGGCTGTTCTCCATGATCTCCTCAATTTTGTCTCCTTCATGCCTTTAAACCATACTATGTAAGGTGACACTCCCAAGCTCTGTCACCAGCTAAAGGTAGAACTTGGGCCTACTGGAACAGCTTCATTCATCTCTATGTGCTGACCCTAGGGAAACTTCCTTAGGAAGGTGTTCTCAAGGAACAGGGAAACCCTCCGATTTGGGCTCTCTTCCTTGAAGAAAATTTGGCTCCTCTCATGTTGGAATCTCTGGTGATTGGGGATTCACTCTCAACACACCCCTTCCAGTCATTGTCCTGATGCAAGTGTCTTCGTTGATGGTACCCAGATCAGTGACAATCACAGTAGCAGCCTGAATGTTCCCCTGTCCTAAAATTTCCTCTGCCAAATACAGCAGTCCATCATCTCTCAATTCCACTTCTCTCAGTTTCTCTGAAAACAGTCAGAATAAAGACACACGAAGGGCTTCTCTCCCATTCGCTGCCTCCTTCCGCAACACCCTTGCTGCAGGCGGCAGTCATCTCCAGTTTGCTCATCATTGCTGTTCTCCAGACTCCTCCAGGATGGCCCATCAATCTCTTCTTGGCGCCTTCAAGAACCTTTCTAGCCCAGACATCCAAACTCTTCCACACTCCTCCCACAAAAAATAAAACAAAATAAAACAAACGAACGAACAAAAGCAGTTCCAAAGGCCTAAAACCCATGAGGTCGTGTTTTATTACAACAAAAGTCCCATTTCTTGGTACCAATTACTGTCTTTGTTTCGTTTCCTGCTCTTCTCATAAAATAGTCTGACTGAAGAAACTTATGGAGAGAGGAGTTGTTTTGATCCACAGTTCAGAGAATAACTTATAGCGTGAACATGTCAACACAGCAGAAACCTGCAGCAGTTGTCAGGTCACACGCACAATCAGGAAACAAGGAGGTATGATTGCTTGGATATTAACTCAGCTCACTTTGTCCACTTTATATAGCGTAGGATCCCTTGCCTAGAGAATGATTCCACCCACAGTGTGTAGGTCTTCCTGTCTCTATTTATGTGTTCAAGGTGGTATCCTACAGTGAGAATGATGTCTACAGCAAATCTCCCAGATGATTCCAGACACTATCAAGTTGAAAATTAACACTAACCATCACACCAGGGCTTTTATTGTTTCCCTTTTTTCTTCTTTTACATAAATTTCTTTAGTGTGTGTGTGTGTGTGTGTGTGCATGTGTGCATGCATGCATGTATGTGTGTGTGTTGTGTAATTGTGGGGGTCTGCACATGCCACAGGATATGAATGGAAACCCAAGGACAATTTGAAATACTTGCTGTTCTTCCACCGTTGTGGGTTCTGGGGATGGAATTCAGGCCATAAGCCTTGTCAGTAAGCTCCTTTATCTTTGGAGTCGTCTTACAGACTTAGAGGCATTGCATTTTTATTACCAGTTAATACTAGTTTATGTGGTATACTTAAATTCAGACAAAGCATTGATCCTTTCTAGATAAGTTGTATGTGGATAAACATACAACTTTATGTTTATAACAACAAATTGCTAACTAGCTCACCTCAACAACTGAGTTCAACAAATGAAAAAGTTTTCTAATCACAATTTAGCCTCTCTCTTTCCTACCATTCATTTAACCTTACTGTCATTCCAAAAGTAGTTTGTAAGTAGAAATCAAATCTACAGTCAGCAGTGCTCTCTCTCTTCACTACCTGCACAATCACGTTATTGTGTTTATTAGCCACTCATGGTTGCCACAGTAACCACTATGCTTTCTACCATGTAACATGTGTCCCTTAAGCCGAAAGACAGACAAACAAAACTATGGCTTTGTTTTGCTTTACCCTTTAACACTGATAACTTTCAGAGTTATATGACCAAAGAATTTTTGAAAATTAAGGCCATGAGATTCTAAGAAATCATTTCTAACATTCCCCACTGTTTGTGTTTGTATAAGAAGAAGTAGATTAATCAGACAAATTGTATTAAACCAGAGTTTATAGGAGAAAACTTACATTTAGAAAAACAGAAAAAAAATCACAAAAAGATAAAGTTGTGATTTGGAGTATTTAGGTTTTTAAAGTATATACCAAAGAGTTAATTACTTTAGGGAGTCAAGCTTATTTGTAAGTGCTTCCAATAAAGCCAAAATATGACTTTATATATTTTGTATATAAATATGTATGCATGTATATAAGCATATTTTTCTTTAGAAGACCAAATTTATAAAGATTTATTTACCATAGCTCCAAACATCACTTTGATGGGTGAATTTCCTATAATGTATACATTCCAGAGCCATCCATTTAATTGGCATCTATAGAAAAATAAAAAAGTGAATTAATAAAAACAACACAAGAAATCATTTTTATATTTTCTAAATGCTAGTTTCTGGACTGACCTCAATTATATTTTTTGATGGTGTGTGAATATAGCTATAAATCAGTTGTTTTTCAAGATAGGGGACAAATAGATTGAAATTGATAAAAATCTATGAAGTAAATTAACCAAAGGATATATTTTAAAGCTTCATAAACAATGAAAAGAAAATTAAACATCTGAACAGCTTTATATATTTCTTAATGTCTACTATCTAAATTATGAGCTACTATGATGGCTGACAATATCATTAAATGTACAAATGTTTCTATATAACATTTTCTCAGAAATGAGATTCCTCCCTTTTTAGTGATCCCATCTCTCCCTTAGATATGTTTTTGACCACAGATGTAATTGACTTTTTTCTTCAGTTGCCCCCACTTCTTCTTCCGGTCACTAAATTGTCTAAAATCATGAATTTCATAGTTAGCTTTGCTTTGTTCCCCAGTCACAAATGATCTCTTTTGCCTGGGCTAGTCAGAATTGAAAATATGTGCGTTTTCAAAATAGGAGCTAGGAATAAAAAAGAATGCAAGAGGATCAGCACAAATCCTTCATCACTACAAGGAAAACAACTCAGCCCTCATACCCTGTGGATGACGGGTCAGCAGAATGTGTTCCAACTCAAAGGGCAGCATTATGTAGCTTGGGATATAATTAGATTCTATGGAATAAAGATAAACATTTCTACTTTGCAGTTGAAAGCTTAAAACTAAATAGGCATTTGAAATCATGAGGTTGGCTGCTCACCAAGGTGACACCAAGGTAACTCTATGACAGAATCATGGGATTCAGTGAAAAGGAACAGAAGACACATTGAATGTAATTTCCCTGTGGGCAAGGAGTTAGCAGTCTTTATGGACTATGGACGCCGTGTTATAGAAGTAAGTTTAAATCATACGCGGCTTGATAAAGCCTTAATGGTGACCAGGCACTTAAAGCTGTAATGAATCTTGCTTTGGACAATCCTTAAAGTTGTATGTTCTTAAAACAGGCGAAGTCATATGATTTATAGACTGCTATTTCTGAGAAATCTTGTCGAGAATTTCAGAGCTGTGATTTTAAGCCACTGTAGTTTGGTAGTAAACAGACAAAATAGGCAGATAAGATCAGGGAAAGGTCAGATAATTTCTCAAAACCGAAATTTTCATATTTTATAAAATTGTGTTATTTTACTTTTTAGTAGTAGGATTTGAATATAGACAATTGTGTAAATGCCTAGGGTGAATGAAAGATAAGTATTTAGCAGCCTATTATTGCAAATATTTATTTGTCATAGAAAAGTAAGGTAAATAATTAACAGACTCATATATGCAAATAACATTTCTTTTTCATAGCTTCACGGGTCACTAGAGATTAAGATTTCATATTGTTTGCATCATTGACCTGCTCTGACGTAGATTTCTTCAGGTCACGTACTAATTTCCCTAATTAATTAGCCAAGACTGAGGAGTAATCAGTTAAAGACAGACTTACAACTAAGATATGGGAGAAACTATATGATGAGGTGGCATCCAGAAACACAGTTGTCAGACAGAGGGTTGCAAAAGGTAGTTAAAGATGGAACTGGGTTCACCTTCAATTTTAGTAGCTTAGTGTGTATTTTGTTGTACAGGCAAGGAATAAGCAATGTAGGTAAATCATTCACTATGGAATAAGTGAAATCAAAGTAACTTTACTTGGTAATTGCAAGGTATGATTTTTGGTTCTAGGGAGATTAGAAGTGAGAATGGCCAATTTTCAAATGAATTACGATTGTTACTAGTACCTAAGCTTCTCAGTACATAAGCTGTCATCCTGTAATAGTTCTGTAGTCTCAGGATCAATGGGACAGTCTTTACAGCCCTGTGTTAAAGGTTCATATCCTGAGTCTTAGGGATTATCACATAGTTGTCGTTATTAGAGATACAGAGTTATCTTCCTTTCACTATACCTACCTTGCCACCATCTGCATTGTATTCCTTTTCGTCTCCTTCCAAAAGTCGGGCTAGTCCAAAGTCTGTGATTTTCACATGATTTGGGGATTTTACTAAGACGTTACGGGCTGCCAGATCCCGATGAACAAGCCGTCTTTCTTCCAGGTACATCATTCCCTAAAAAAATAAATCAAGTTCCATAAAGAGAGTCACTTAGCATCTGATGTTCTTTGTGTTGTAAACTGGAATACTTCATTTCTCAAAGTGAGGGCAGAATCCTGGAATACATTTAAAATTTAAAAAATAATAATAATAATTTGCTGTGGAAAGGCGGCAAACTGCAGATAAGTTTTGGGCTTTTGCCCCATAGTTTCTCTAAAGAAGAATGAATGATTTGAAAATGAGTTAAATGTATGCCTGTTTTCTCAGGAACCTGATATCCTTTTGCAAACATTTTCATTAGTGAGGCGTGCAGGTGTTTTAATAGATATGCTAGCATAGACTTGAACTAACCAACAGACCCCTCATCATTTTCTTCTCTGTATTTTTTGCTTCATGTCATCTTCCTCCTACACAGTCACTCCAGACAAGCACAGCTATCCATAACTAAAAAGCTTTCACTCAAGGGTTGATGGCACCAAAATCATTTGCATAGATCTCTCAAGGATAAAGAATTGTATTATTTTTACTCATTGTGCACAGTATAAAGGATACCCTAGGGGTCCAAGAGAGTCCAATTTTAAATAAAAGGCTTCTATGACATTAGTTGTCATCATAGGACCTCACAAATGAGAGGACATAGTTTATAATGACCTACAAATTAGCCTTTAATATGTTATCTTCTTAAAACCATGCAGGGAAATTAAAAATAAAATTTATTGCTGATTGCTCTCATGAGGTGGGATGGTGGGAAAGAAAGCTTGTTAATTTATATATTTATAAGAATGTTGATTCACACAAATAATAACTTGTTTATTGTTATATTTCAGCAAGCAAGTAGATAAGTGTTGTTACACCTTACATACCAAGGAAAGAAAGCTAGGGCCTAGATTAGGTAAGAGTGAACATGTTGTTTTACTGAGGAATGTGAATGAATTGTATATTTGATTTTTTTTCAGCTGTAAAATATGGTCATTCAAAAGCATATCAGAATTATAATAAAAGGACTGAAGCACATTCTTATTCCAATTACAAATCATTGCTGTTGGCAGTTAGCATTACACCTGCACAGCTCTGAAGGATTAATGGTTTCTGATATCAAAACAAAGCTGTGGAAAACAGACACATAAATCATATAGGTCAAAACATTATGAACTATAGACCTGGTGTAGTGTAAAGAGAAGATTGCTTCACACAGCTCTAGGAGCCAGCATCCACTGAAAGGCCCATCAAATACAACTGGTGGTGATACCTTCTGATATGGTCCAATCAGTCAACAGCTAGGTGACACGGCATTTACTCATGCTTTCTGAGATCAACTCACAAATAGTATTTATGGGATTTTTGCCCTCTTTCCTAAATAGTACTGTTTTAGGACATAAGGTAGGATATTCTAAAAATAAGGCAAATCCGAGAACAAGCGGTTCTTTTGGGTCTTAAAGGATCAGAATTAAATAAGCTTATTGCCTTGGAGATGACATATTTTCTCAGCCTTCCAAATAATTCTGTCCTTTTAAAGAATGTTCATTAAAAAAAACATCATTTTCTTTATTCCTCCCCACATATCAGCCCATAGGAAGCAGTATACTTTTTTGTCAGTATACTGATGCATAGGTCTACATGTACACGCAGCACACACTGTGTTCTGCATACTGTGCTGGATACCGGGGAGGTGAAAAAAGAATCAAATAAGGTCCATACAATAAAAGTTGAGAAGGTGAATTACTAAAGTGGGAGAAATAAATAGTAACTGACGCATATGGGAAAGACGCATATAGGGCTCTGAAGAGAAGCTACATCCTGAGGATGAGTCTGGCAAGTAGACAAGAGGGGAGAGAACTGAGAGAGGTCCCCAAGCAGGCTAAGGCTTGGCGAGAAAGAGTGTGGCAAAGTGAACAAATAATTAAGACTAATTAACATGTGCACTTGGCCAAAGGCATGCCATTCTGTATGTCTGAAAAATGACACACGGGGAGGGGATTGGTGAGCAGTGAGACTAAGAGTAAGAGAGATCCAAGAAACACACGCATGTGTCATGGACTTCATGTGAATTTTGATTTCTGTATTTTACAGTCTACACCGTCGTGATCAGAAAGTCTTCTTTCAAAGGGGATGGCTGTCCAAATTTTACCACACTCCTGGAAATATCATTCTGATGCCAATACAGGAAATGGATTTGGACTGTACACAAATGGAGCCCACGGTAGGAACCACTGCCATGATATGCAAGCTGGAAATGAGAGCCGTGAATTCTTAGTTCCTAAGTTTTACCCATTTCCATTTGCTTTCTTAGTTTCACATAGGTAAGGGTTATTCGTTGTATCTGAACAACAGTTATGCCTTGCTAAGGATACCTGACCTCCAGTTATTTCAGATCCTACCATACTCAGTTCCCTCTGTCTTTCATTTCTCTGGATCCTACATACCTAAATGACTGATTCGTCATACCTACATACCTAAATGACTGAGGCTGAAGGACTACCAAGGAGAGGGTAATTTCAAGGCATAGTTACAGACTAAGAGGTTCATCCTTGGAAACTGAGTCATGGAAAGGAGAGTGATTTTGGTTCTTTTACACACATGACAATTCTTTCAACTAACATACAAATGGAAATAGATTTTATATTTCTTATAAGACCTTTTATGTTTATTTAGTTTGTCCAATTGTATAAGATTTTTGCCAGCAAGTATATTTGTGCTACAAATACATGCAGTGGAAAAGGAGATACACACACACACACACACACACACACACACACGTACAATTAGCAATGAGTGACACATTAAAATCAGCAATTGTGTGAATATTTTTGGTTCTTCCTAATTCATGTGTTGAAACTCTAAACTCTGAAAGTTATGGTACGAAGGTGGCCTCAGTGATGATTAGGTGATAAAGAAGGAGACTTTGGGAAACTAAGCACCCCTATAAAAGAGACCCCAGAGAGATCCCTTCTCTTCTCTGAGTGCAATCATGGTGACTATGGTTAGGATTAGGAAGCAGGTCAGTGGGACCAAATTTGTTTGGCAGCCTTGAGTACCATCAAATTTCCATTATACATAAATCACTTGATTTATAATATTTTGTTATAGCAGTCAGATAGACTAAATGCCTTTATTTTTAAAGATTAATTTCATTTTTAATTATGATATGTGCATGGATATGTGCACACAAGTGCAGCTGCCCATGGATTTCAGAAGGGGGCAACAGATCTCCTAGAGCTGGAGTTATAGTTGGTTATGAATTGCTGTATGTAGGTGCTTGCAATTGACCTGTAGTCTTTCGTAAGAGCAGTATACGTCTTTAACTGCTGAGATACGCTTTTAACCCCTTAGACACTTTTAAAATTGACACATTCTGCAATTCAGAGAAAAGTTCAAAGTTCTAAAAGTTCTTTCACTTTCTCCATTACAAAATTTACCAGATAGCAGAGTATCTTGAATCTTACTACCACTTGTGAAGAAAACAATCAAAATATTGAGAACTCCATTCAGAAAACCAACTGAAAATTTATATCATTTTCTCCACCCTGTCATCTCGACCGAAGTAGTACTATTAATAACAGAAGCTTAGGCTATTACTATTTTATCAAGATACATTTGTATGGTTTCTTTTTCACTCCGAGGCACCATTGTGCAGGCATTTCTAAGTCATTAGGTATGCCTCCACCTTCATCACACTTTCACACCCAGAATTAGAGTGTTGAATTGTCTTCGCATTGCTTATAAAAGGTTTTCTACAATACAGTCATTAAGATAGGAGTTTTTTTTTCTGACGTGAAGAACTCATTAGAGTCAAAATTTCACTTAAGTTCTTTCAAAATAATATTATTCTTTGAATTAGCAGGGTGCAACTAAGACGACAGACAATTATTGGAAGTAATTGTGACAAAAATGAGCTGTCTGAAGTCCCTGGAAGTGGAAGATGAGAAGTTTGTTCACTACAAGAGGACACAACACTGGCTGGATAGGAAACCTCATTCTCTGCTTTGAGGGTTTTGTCATGATCCAGGCTGACCAAGTCTGGACAGAGCGTGATGAGAACATCCACATCACAGTTCTTATTAACTCAGCACACTTCGGACACAGTGGGTGCTAAATAAAACCCTTCTACATCTGTGGGGCAACCTAACTTTGTGAAGCATGCCCCATTTTTCTTCGACTATAAATATGAGAAAGCCAAGATTACCTGAGGTCATGTCACCTGGTGCAAGTGATCTAACTAATGAGCAAGAGATAGAAGGATTTGATCTACTAGGATTCTAAAACCTATGGATTTAAATTTGGGCACACAAAAATTAACAAACATAGGTAAGACTTACTGCTTTATAAAACATACTTTTACAGAAAAAAATATTATTAACTATGTGAATTTCTGGGCACAATGGAGTTGATTGACTTTTTAAGAAAAAGTATATTTAATATTAACTAAATCATAAAGTTGCTTATAATTTAGTCACTTTTTGAGTTTTTCAATTTGTTTAGGCCACGTGGTATAGAAAATGGAGAATTGGGTAGATTATATATTCTAAAGGCAGTTTTCTGGTACAAACCCCAACCCTACAAAGTTCTAGATGTGATCCGGGCAAGATGTTTAACCTCTCTCTCTATCACCTCATCTCTCCTTTTAAAAGAACCACAATAGCATCTACTTGCCAGCCTGCTGTGGAGATTAAGTACAACATAAAGCCCTTAGTAAGTGGTTTATTGTAACTGTAGAATTCGCAAACTTTCACCTGTGTTCTGCGGATAAATATCAACAATCCTCAATTAGACAAACATTGCTCTAAGTAAGTTCCCCTGTTCCTTTAAATAAATGTCTAAACCACAGCATTCAAAGAACATTTGCAGTGCTACAGTACCTAAAACTATTCTAGAATTATTACTATTCAAAGTCTCATTTTAAAAATGATTCACCCACAATATTATTTACATATAAAAATTATCTAGGGAATATACTGAAGATTTGGTGTTCTTCATAAATATATCACAGTGTTCAGCAAGTTACTGAAGATAAAGGT